CCATGCGCATCCTGGGCGGAGTCATTAGCGCCATCAGGTGAGGCGGGGTCTGCCGGGGGGCGTGGCGTGGGTGAGGGGCGGGGCCTGGGAGAGGCGTGGTCCAACCAGAATAGAATAGGATGAACCTGGAGACTGACCAGGGAACCTTAATTAGGCTGGGCTGGCCTGGGCAGCGAGAGGGGACTTAAAGATAAGACCCCACGGAGACTTACGTCAGTTCGTGGGCGGGCCTTGACTTGGGCGTAATATGGTTGTGCGAGGCAATTGAAGAATTTGGGCCCAGAGGGGATGGGTCCATGGTTTGGGTTTGGGGAGGTGAGATTTAATGGAACTGGGCACGACTTGCATTGGTTAACGGGGAGATGAACGTTAAGAGGGTGGAGCCAATGAGTGATTGACACTTGGTGTGGGTGAGGCTTGATATATGGGCGCGGCCTGCTGTCCTAGGTGGGTTAATGAGGAGGTGGTCAGGAGAGGCGAAGACCTAATGAGATAGGAGTAATGGCCCAGAGGGGCGGGACTTGGCCCAGAACTGGCTGGATTAAGAAAAATGTCCTGGTAGGGTTAGAGCAGGTTGTCTGTGGGGGCCTAATTAGCCTTGACCCTTAAGCAGTGATCCCTCAGTGGGCCAGGACTGATGGAGCTGGGGCAGGATGTTGGGAAGGAGGGCATTCAGGAAGGGGAGCGATGGAGTAGGGTTCTGGGCAGGGACTTAAGGTTGACGCCTCGGGACGTTGGGGCAGACCCCTCAAAGGGATGAGGTCTGTTGAGTCCGAGTGGGATTTGGGGGTAATTGAGCGGAGCCAAGGTGATTCTGGAACTGCCATTGGGTCGGTGTGCCCTGGCAGGAGTGGAGCCTACCTTGAAGGTGACCGTGGGTTTCTTCGGGGTTGTGTTGGCTTGATGCAGTGAGGGGCAGAACCAGGGCAGCATGGGTTGAACAAGGTGAGAACCAGGACTGATGAAGGGTGGAGGGACCAGGCGAGGACGGTGGCAGGCCAGGTGTGGGAAGTTGGAGCTGGCCGTTCGCGGAGCTGCCGGTTGAAGGCCCCGCCCCCTGGCGCTAACTCCCCTTGTCTCCTCTCAGCGAAGCTGCTGCGCAGTACAACCCGGAACCCCCGGTAAGCCTTCCTCCGCAGACCCCTCTTCCCCCTCCGAGGTCTTTTCCAGGCTCTTACCCTGTTCCTTTAGAAAAGCCCCACTTCCCTCACCCTCTTTATGAAATTTCTCAGCCATTAAGCCCCTCCCAAATTTAGCCATGGGGCTTAGTTAGCTATGCCATGTACACCCACTGCTTACTAACTACACACTAACGACCCTCCCTTTCTGTGATCCTCGTGCTGTCCAGCCCATTTTGCCTTTCCCGCCTAGGGCATTTGAGTGTGGGGAGCTGTCTGGGCCAGGGCACCTCTCCCCACCTGCGCTCAGGTCTCCTCTCTCCGCAGCCACCGCGCACTCATTACTCCAACATTGAGGCCAACGAGAGTGAGGAGGTCCGGCAGTTCCGGAGACTCTTTGCCCAGCTTGCTGGAGATGTAAGTAATCTGCAGACCCTGGCCCTGTCTCAGTCTTCCATGCCTTCCCAGGGGCCGCCTTTGCACACACACAAATACTTGGCCATGACAGTCCTAAATTTTCAATTCTCCTTCATGACATGCCCAGATCTCTCTAGGTCAGCCCTGACTAACGCCTAATTTCTGCCTGCAGGACATGGAAGTCAGTGCCACAGAACTCATGAACATTCTCAACAAGATTGTGACCCGCCGTGAGTGACTGTAGTCAAAGCCTGGGGGTTGGAGTGGCTGTGACTTCTGCCCTCTGACCTTCAACGTTGTCCCCCACAGACCCTGATCTGAAGACTGATGGTTTTGGCATTGACACGTGTCGCAGCATGGTGGCCGTAATGGATGTATCCTTGGGCAGTCTGGGGGAGGCCCTGGGTGAAGAGGGAGTTTTTTGAGAGTGTATTTCAGACAGCCAGGGTGTAGCTTTCATACCCACAAACGTTTGTGCAGAAACTTATCTATAGATATGTGGTGATCAACAACCTTAGCTGGGGGGGACCAGCAGATGGCATAATGTCTACATTGCTGGACTCCCATGTAGTCGACCGCGGTTCAAGTTCTGGACCTGGTAGCTTAAACTCACACCGGGCGTGTGTGCATGCGTGCCCATGATCCCGAGAGGAGAATGGAGAAGAAGGGATTGTGGCATGGCCATGCCCCCTGGTGGGGTGATTTCTTGCTTTTTGTCTTTCTGGTGAGTGCACATGCCCTATAGCAAAAATCTCTCAAAACAAAACAAACAAACAAACAAAACACACATTGGCTGGGGGCAGCAGTGGTACAGTGGTTAAGGTGCTAGACTTCCACATGGCTGACTGCTGTTTAAGTGCCAGATCTGGCAGCTTAAAAATCATGCCAGGTTACGTGAGCGTGCATGCCTAAAATCCCAGGAGAAGAATGGAGGATAAGGGCTTGCGGCGTGACCATCCCCTGGAGGGGTGATTTCTCACTTTCCCTTTCTGTCTCTGATGAGCATGTGTGCCCTAGGGCAAAAACCTGGAAAAAAAAAAAAAGAATGACATTAGCTGTCACAGCTGGTACTTGACTTACATTAACTGACTCACACAGCCACTCGGCATAGTTAGTATGCTGAGAATACTGAGGCTCCATGGAAAGCAGGTACTTATCTGAAGTTATAAAGCGGAAGTAGCAGGATAGGAATTTGGACTGGAAACTAGGTCTTTTAGGCTTGAGAACCCAAGCTTATGACATTGACATGCACATACATACACATACACATACCCAGTACAGCCATGTATGTGAAGGTACATGCATGGGAACATCCCTGTGTATTTGCACACAGGCTGATCTTGAATACATGCACAGATCACATAGGGCAATACACACACACACACACACACACACACATACATACCCTGTGTTCACACATGTATTACACAGAGTGAAACAATCCTGGCTATACCCCTTAGGCAGATTACTGAGCCTCTCTGTGCCTCAATTCCTCTATCCGTAAAAGAGGGCAAGTGATAATGGTGATACTGAATTGGAGCTAGGTGTAAAAGGCTTAACACGCAGCAAAAGGTCTGTATACACTAGCTTTTTTTTTTTTAAGAATTAAATTTATTATCATTATTGTTTTTTTAACTTACTATAGGACACATGTACCTATCCGAGAGAGATGGACAGAGAGAGAAAGTGAGAACGCAAGCCACTAGATCTGGGGCTCGAACCATAATCAACCATGTGGGAGTTCAGCACCTCAACCACCATGCCACTTGCTGGTCCCTACATTAGCAGTTACCATGAGGTAAGGCTCAGAAAAGCATCAAGTAGGCTTTTTAGCTTTGAATCTGTTTGAAGCCCAAAATCTGTTTAAATCTGTTTTTTTGTTTGTTTGTTTTTCATTTAACTTTATTTATTTATTTTATTCATTTATTTTAACTTGACCAGAGAGGGACAGAGAGAAAGAGAGAAAGTGAGAAAGCAAGCTGCCTGGTCCAGGACTCGAACCGCAGCTGGCCATGTGGGAGTCCAGTGCCCTTAACTACTCGGCCACCTGCTGGCCCTCTACATCTATTTCAAGGCCAAAAGACCTAGTCTCAAGTCCAGTCAGTCTCTGGGATTAACTTTGGTAGGGCTGGTAGCCTGAGGATTTATAAGAACAGTGATGTTCCCAAGGCCCTTACCAGTGTCCGGTGTATATTAGGTAACTTGTTTAGCCTTGCCACTGTTATTTATTGCAAATTTATAAAATGCCAGGCTCTGAGCTGTATACCAATATCTCATTCAATTTTAAGACACTCTTGGTTTTCACATGTCCTAACATTTATGAAATTGAGTTACTATCCAGAATTTTACAAAGGAGGAATTAGCAATTCTCTTCTCTTCCTCTGGTGAGGAATTTGTATTAGGTTGTCTTTTTTTAAAAAGTATTATCTTATTAACTTTATTTTTTTATTTCTTAATTTTTAATTCCTTTTTAAGAATTATGTATTTATTTCCATTTGTTATTATTATTCAATTTGACCAGACAGAGAGAGCAAGAGAAAGGGAAAGCGAGAAAGGAAGCTGCCAGGTCCGGGACTCAAACAGTGGTTGGCCATGTGGAAATCCAGCACCTTTAACCACCATGCCACTTGCCAGCCCCTATTTATTTGTTTTTAATTTGACCAGAGAGGGACAGAGTGAGAGAGAGAGGGAAAGCAAGAAAGCAAGTTGCCTAGTCCGGGACTTGAACCGCGGTCAGCCTCGTGTAAGTTCAGCACCCTTATCCTCCATGGTGCCTGCTGGCCCTTGTATTGGGTTGTCTTTTAAGTCATGATACATTTTTGCATATAAAAATAGAAGTCATGACCTTCCCGACAACCTAATAGTTTGAAGAGAGTCTTTATTTAGAACTATAAGCTAAAATATGTGTGGATAAAATAAGAAATAAAAAGCACAACCCAGGCATCCTGACTAGGGTTAGGGGGGAGCTGGAGCCCTAGCCCAGATTTCCTGGCTGTCTGTATCATCACATACAGGACATGTCTGGGTACAGCTGTCACTGTTCTTAACAACCTTCCACCAGAGCGACACCACAGGCAAGCTGGGCTTCGAGGAGTTCAAGTACCTGTGGAACAACATCAAGAAGTGGCAGGTGTGTGGCAACTTGGGGAACTCAGCCCCCCCCGCCATGGATATACCATGCTCCATGATGCTTGGTTAGACTGCGACTTCTCTGTCCCCACAGGCCATATACAAACAGTTTGATGCTGACCGATCAGGGACCATCTGCAGCAGTGAACTCCCAGGGGCCTTTCAGGCAGCAGGTATGGTCGGCAAGGACGTGGTGGGGCTGGGCGTGGCATGGATGAGGCCGCTCTCACTGAGCTGGTCCAAGCCTGAACCCCAGGGGTTGGGAGGGAGTTGGGCTGGGTGGCCCCTAAGGCTGAGGGACTAAACCATTCTTAGGGTTCCACCTGAATGATCATCTCTACAACATGATCATCCGACGCTACTCGGATGAGGGAGGCAACATGGATTTTGACAACTTCATCAGCTGCTTGGTCAGGCTGGATGCCATGTTCCGTGAGTGATATTCCAGCTTCTCCTGGGTGGGGATTTGTTCAACCTCCCCTGGCTGAGGCCTGACCTTGAGGTGGGCTATGCTAGGGACACAGCAGTGGCCAAAATGTCCCCATTTCCTGCCCTCATGGAATTCAGAATTCAGTGAAGGAGAGACAAGTTACCGGACAGTGACCATTAAGGCTGGTTATGGCTGGGAAAGGGGAAGCCTAGTCTGACTGACCAGGGCAGGAAAGAGCAGTTCAGGGCAGAGTGGTGGGTTCTGACAGGTAAGCTCAGGCAGGGTGACTAGGGCTTGATGGGGGAAGCTCAGGCAGAGTGTTTAGATGGTGACTGGGGAAGCCCAGAGGGCTATTCAAACTTAGGAGGCACCTGATGCAGCGTCAGCGGTAAAGGAGGGCTCCCTGGAAGAAGGGACCCATGAGTTGAGACCTGAGGGATGAGGAAGAGTGAGAAGGTAGGGAAGGGTGTTGCAGGTTGAGGGAACAGCCTGTGCAAAAGCCTAGAAAGGAAAAAAAGATGGTTTTTCTGTTGCTTTCTTTTGGACTCTGAGTTCAAAGAATGCTGAAGACAGGGTGGGATGAGAAGGCATGAAGCTGGGAGAGATCAGTGGGGACAAGATCCTGAGGCTTTTCTGAGCATTAGTGACCTGAATTCTTAAGACATCCCTGAGAAGTAGGAATGACTGCTCTCATTTCAGAGTTCAGGGAGGCAGAGTTGCCTGCTCACAGCCACCCAGGAAGTTTAAAAGCCAGAATTTGAACTCAGATCCGAGATCGGAGCAGTGTTGAGTTAGAGGAGGAAGGAACCATGCGCATGTTTCCGATCACATAGGCCGTGAATACCAAGTTCAGGGCAGGGGAGGGACAGGGTCAGGTTTTAGAAAGATCTTTGGTGTCCTCAGAGGCCAGGGAAGACAATAATTAAGAGCAGGATGGGGGACCAGCAAGTGCCATGGTGGTTAAGGCGTTGGACACTCGCACATGGCCAACTGTGGTTTGAGTCCTGGGTCTGGTGGCTTGCTTTCTCACTTTCCCTCTTCTCTCTCTCTCTGGTCAAATTAAAATAAACTTATTTTATGAATAGATAAAATTAAATAATTCTTTTAATTAATTAATTAATTAAAAGATGAAAGAGGCAGCTATGCAAGACCACAGGGTAGATGACACCAAAAGTCACGCAGGAGAATGCCCAAGGAATATCCACTGAATTGACCAACAAAGGGCCGGCTGTAACTGCATGAGTACAAGTTGCAGACACTGTGTGTGTACGCCTGAGGGCAGGGAGTGAGAGAAAGCAGTCTGGACACTACCTAGGCTTGGTTCTAGGTGGGAACATAGAGCTGACTCTTCAGGGCAGGAGTAGGGACCATGACAAATTCCAGGACATGGAATCTGCAAAGCTTCTGGGAGCCTGTCTGAGTTAAAACTGGAGAGGATGGAGTCTGGCTGGGGCTGAAGGTGATGGCCGTGGCCGGTTAGTATAGAGAGGCCATTACTGAAGTGGTACCAGCCTGGGTCCATTCTCAGTTTTCTTACTCTGTTGCTGTGTGACCCACAACACTTGACTGCACTTCTCTGAGCCTTGTTTTAAAATGACTTCTAGGGGCCTGTGGGTGGCATGGTGGTTAAGGGCGCTGGGCTCCCATATGGCCAACCGCAGTTGAGTCCTAGACCTGGCAGCTTGCTTTCCCACTTTCCCTCCCCCTGCCCCCCTCTTCTTTCTCACTCTGGTTAAATTAAAATAACTAACTAAATAAATAAAGGTAAATAAAATAAATTCTTAAATAAAATGATTTCTCTTACAAATTCAGTTAAATGAATTACTGCATAGAAAGTGCTTTACATAGTGCCTGGCTCAGAGTATGTCCCCAACGGAGTACTAGCGAGTATTCTCATCATCCCTATGTTAGTATAAGACTATCCTAAAAGTCAGTCTTCCCCTTCCCTGCTCGTCCAGGTGCCTTCAAATCTCTTGACAAAGATGGCAGTGGACAAATCCAAGTAAACATCCAGGAGGTAAGTGCCTAGGGCCAGGGGGGTCAGGGAACCCCATTGCTCAGCCATCCGCACCAGCTGTTCCAACCCCTCCCCCTTATTTTCCCAGCAGCCCCTGGGTGAGGGCTGAGGGGATCTGGTGTTCTGAGGTTCCTTGCTCCTCACTCTGTTTCTTCCTCTCCCCAGTGGCTGCAGCTGACTATGTATTCCTGAACGGAAACCCCAGACCTGCCCCCTCATCGCCTCGCTGTAGGAGTCACCTTGGACCCTTCAGTCTCTCCCAGGGCTGATCCTGTTTGTAGTCATGCCTTCATGGGTTCCACTGATTCCCATGCCTTTTATTCTCCCAGTCCTTGGCACCCAGCTGCTCAGTCAAGAGCAACCTGCCATGTCCCGAGCTATCCCTGCCTCTGAGACACCCTAACACGCTGTGCCCTAGGGTCACCCCACTGTACCACGCCCTCCTCATATCCACTCCATAACCTCTGCTATACCTGCGCCAAGTCCAACCCTTGTGTTGCTTCCATGCCCCAAAGGCCCTGTCTCAGTTCTGGGAGGATCACTCCAGTTCCTGCACACCCTGGCACACCCAGTCACAGTTGACACCCAGGCAGCCGAACTCTAGGCCATTGAAGGCCTGCTTGCCCAGTGCCTTCGTATTCTGCTCCCTGCCTGCCAGGCCCAGGAGAAAATAAATGCACCCCAGTTGCTGCTCTCTATAGGATCTGCCTCTTGTTCTGGGAATTGAAGTGGGGCTCAGCTCTTGGGAAGAGTAAGTCTGAGTCCTGGGGAGTTGGGTGGGGTAAATGGCTCTATCTGTGTCCATATGTCCGTCTTCCGGGCTGGATCTGTGTATCTCCTAGTCCTTTGCTCACCTGCATCTTTTTTCTCATATTGGATTCCATCTGAGGTATAGCCTGGCTCTGGCCGAGATCCCTTACAGGTCCTGTGGAGGCTGGGCCTGGACCCAGGAGCCCTGACGATCTTAGCTTCTGCCACCCCTGGTTCTGTCCCCCAGAGCCACAGATTTCCAATTCTCTGAGCTTCAGTCCTGGAGTCAGTCTCTGCCCTCACTTGTGTCTCCTGTCCTGTCATGGACCATGTTCAGTGTCTTCCCACCCTTGGGTCTCTGCCAGGGGAGGGACTACCATCCCAAGATTCTAAGGGTCCCTGTCCCCCTGAAGGACACCATCCCAGATCCAAGGCCTCAAGGAGCAGTTTGGGGGTGCTGTTTGGGGTCCTTGAGGTGAGCTAGGAGCAGGAACATCCTAGGAGTAGCTCTGGTTCAGCATGAGAAACCAAGAGCTAGAGCAGGGATCCCTGGCTGAGGGCTGAAGGGGGAAGGGGTGCACGCACATGCACAGAGACAGAGGCCAGAGCTGGGCTGGTACCCCATGAAGCCTGCATGTTTATTGATGCTTGTCCAAGTTTCCCAGGTCCACCAGGCTTCTTGGGCTCACTTCTTATGGGGGAAGGAGGCCCAGCCAAGGCAGTACAAGCTGTAGACAGTGCCTAGGAAGGGGAAGTGGGGACACAGAGTCAAGCCCTGAACCCCCTCCCTGAACCTCACTTCAGGCGGCTCCACCACTAGCTTGAATCCCAGCTTCAGCTTCCTTCCCAAATGACCCCAGGTGGGAAACCCTCTTGACATTGATCCAGATCAGGTTAGAAACTCATTCAACTGTCTGGATTCCAGACCATCGCTAGCAGGGTTACCAATCCTCTCTCTAAACGCCAACCCCCCCATTCCAAATGCTAATTACCCCACACCCCGGCCTGGGAACCAGTCCCCTCCTTTCCACGTGCTGGACCCCGCACTCACCACCCAGACACAGCGCCATGGTCAAGCGGTACAGGATGTTGTCGGTTGCCCCGCCCTTCAAGTGCACCGGGAGGTCATTGTCCGCCTGGGTGAGGGTGTCCAGTGAGAAATGGGTGCTGGCTGTTCCATACACCTTATTCCCGACTTCCCCCCACTCGGCTCAGATCCCGCCTACAGACGTCCCTCGCCCCGCCCACCTGGAAGAGTTTCTGTTTTTCAGGCACTCGGTTCTCAAAGTGGTTCCGGGCAGTTGAGCTGAAAGAGCGAATCAGCGCCTGGGAGACCTGCAGGGGTGGGAGGTAGGTGGGTATTGGAGGCACCCAGAGAGGTGTCCGAAGTGGAGCGGGGTGAGGATCCCCCCCCCGCCCCCGGTTCACTGGCCTGGACATGGGGAAGGTCCTACCGTGGCACACCTCTCAAAGGCAAAATTAGAACTGCCAGCCTGCAAAGGGAGGGGACTCGTGCACAGAGAGTCTGGCTTGGAGGTTACCAGAAGGGAGACACTCTGGGAGTCCAAGTCCTGAGATTTTGGGGGATGCAGAGAGGGAGGGAAGGTTCCCGGATTCACGGGATGACACCAGGTCACGGAAATGTCAGAACCGGACTGGCGATCCCCCGGAGTTTCCAGGCTACCCAAGCAGTCTTCGGTAGGGGCAGGACTGTTAAATTCCCTGGTGCCGAGATGCTGAGATGTTAAGGAAGTACTAGACGAAAGGTAGAGGTTTAAACCTGGGGCCCCGGCGCTGCCAGGAGGTCCCATTTGTCCCAAAGCTTGGGCTGTGGGGGAGGGGTCCAGGCTGTTGAGGAGGGAGTCCTGGGTCCTGAAGGGTCCTCTGGTTCCAAGAGCCCAGACGCCCCGCTTGGGTGGTTAGGGGGGTCACATATTAGGACAGAGACTTCTTGATTAGGGGCCCCGCCCAATCCGTAAGGACCCTCACCCGCAGGGCCCTCATTCTGCGTCCTCTTCGGCTGGAGTCACCTCCCCTCTCCGCCCAAGGACATACGGTGCCCTCCCCTCTTCGGGAACTCCCGGCCACGCCTGCGGCGCGTGGCGGGACAGCTGGGAGGAAAGGGGAGGGGAACTCCGCCCTAACCAGGGCCGGGTGGGCGGGCGTAGGGGAGCCGTGCAAAGGGGATTGTCCAATAAGCACACAGAGAAGCCTGACCTACCCAGTCCTGGCGCTGGCAGTAGGAACACAGATCGGTTTCTCTTAGACCAATTTCTGTTGGTCTAAGTAGCGAGCAGAACGGTACCAGGCAATACAGTGTTTTTTTTTTTTTTTTTTCCAGGTTCATAATTTATTGTACAAATTGAGTATCCCATAATGAACTGACATTAGCTTCTCCAGGCATGGGAACTTAGATGAGGTTTGGTCGTTTGACTCCATTTATGTTGCTTTCACAGCGGGAGTTTTCTTAGATCTTAACTTGAAGTATAAGATCGTCAAAACAATGCCTCCGTACGTGGCCAGTACACAATTCATTCTACCTGTAAGAGTATAAGAGTTGAAGTACATTTTAATACCAGGGAACTGGAACTGGGCATCAGCTTCTGGACCTGCCACGATTTCAGTCTTCCTTGATGTTTTCTGTTCCTCCTTAGTACTATTCTCCTTTCTGACTGGACACCTATCCAGCGCGGTGAGATCACCTTGCAAAACCAATAAATCCGCAGATGGTGTCCTTCAACACAGGCAGCCAGGCAGCCACCTCTTGGCCCAGCTGGAAGAAGCCCCAGGCAATACAGTTTTGAGTTGTTTCCCCGGAGATTACCGCTGACAAGTGCAATTGGGGGGGGGGAGTTCTTTATTTATATAGTTATTTATTATTTTAAAATTCGCTACAGGGCATATGCACGAGAAAGAGGGGGTGGGGGAAGGAGAGAAAGAGAAGGCAAGGCGGAAGATCTGGGACAGAACTGCGTTCACCCATGTGGGAGTCCAGTGCCCCCACCACCACTACTTGCTGCAGCAAATACAATTCTTCCCCAGACCTCTGGGATTTCTCCCTATTGGAGCGTATTGGACAGAGCAGGTAAGGGCTTAGATAAACCAGGGTTGATCTGTCTGCATAGTGAGCTGGCGCACTTCTGAGCCCCTAGTTTCTGTATATCACATAAAGGTTTCGGGATCTTCCTCACTGGCTCATGAGAGCATTAAATGAGCTGATGTGAGAGCATGATTGAGCTAACAGTAATTCACAGCAGGGGAAAACAAAGAGACATTCTTCTGTTTGCTTGCAGTAAGGTTCTTATATCAGATAGTTTTACATTTAGTTAACTTCCAGTTTATCAAAGAAAACTTCAAACATGGACAAAAAGCATAGAGAGAGAAATAATGAATCCCCATCCTTGGATCCATCACCCACCTCCAGGATTATCACCATTACAGTGTTTTTAAGTTTCTTCCACTCTTTTTTTTTTCTTTATTCGTGGTAGAGCACATGTGCACACATGAGTGTGTATGTGAGAGAGAGAGAGATGAGCCCCCTCCATAGGGCCTGGTCACTCCTGAATCCCCTTCCTAGCCTGTGGGATCCTGGACACTTCAGTGCTGCCTGGAGCATTTCAGGTCAGCAGAGCTGGAAATTGGAACCACGGTCACAGTGTGGAATCCCTCTTCCAGCAGCACTTTACCACTGCCTGGCAGAGCTGGCCCTTTTTTCAAGTTTATATATTTCTTCCATGTAAGAGAGACACAGAGACACAGAGGCCCAGCCTGTGGCATGGTGGTTAACGCAGTTGGATCTCACTTGGCCCATTTCACGGTTCAAGCTCAACCTGGTGGCTTGAAAAAGACATGAGAGGGAACCAGCAGTTAGCGTAATGGCTATGTTGCTGGACTCCCACGTAGTCAACCGTGGTTCACGTCCCGGACCCGGTGGCTTAAAACTCACGCCGGGCACGTGTGCATACGTGCCCAAGATCCCAAGAGGAGAATGGAGGAGAAGGGATTGCGGCGTGACCATCCCCCCTGGGGGGTGATTTCTCGCTTTCTGTCTCTATGTCTCTCTCTGTCTGTCTGGCGAGCACACGCGCCCTATAGCGAAAAAACCTCTCCCAAAAAAAAAAAAAGAAGAAGAAGAAAAAGACATGAGGCACATATGAATGTGTGCCCCAGATCCTGAAAGGTGGGAGAAATAGAGGAGAAGGGATTTGCAGTGTGATCATTCCCTCCTAGGAGGCTTTCTCATTTTCTGTCTCCAGTGTCTCCAGTGAGTACTTATGCCCTCTGGCAAAGTACAAATAATAAGAGGAAGAAGAGAGAAAACAGAGGTTCAGCACCTCCAACAGGGTTCTGACACTGGCTGGCATATGCCCAGTTTAGTGAAGTCTGTAGACCAAACCTAAAATCCCAGAATGCCCCAGTGGGAGTCAGCCTGGCAATGCACACCTCCACTTGGCCCACTTGTTTTTTGGGAATTAGATTTTACTTATTTAATTTGCAAGAGGGTGTATGTGCTCATCAGAAAGAAAGACAGAGAGAGACAGAGGAAGAAAGCACCCCTTCATGGAGTGTAGACATACGGCAACCCCTTTTCCATTTCTCCATCTTTTCAGGATTTGGGGCATGCGTGCATATGCACCTGGTGTGTTTCTCAAGTTGCCAGGTCTGAGACTCCAACCACATGGTCTGCCATCTGGGCTCTAGGTGTCTTAACCATCAGGCCATAGGCTGGCTCCTCTTTGTTTTTTTCTTAACTGGTATATTTAAAGCAAATCTCAACATTATATCTCATATTTGAATACATATCTAACAGATAAGGACTTCAAAGAGAAAACCTAAAGCCGGCATATGGTGTGGTGGTTAAAGGCATTGGACTCCTACATGGCTAACCACGGTTTGAGTCTTGGACCTGGCAGCTGACTTTCTCAATTTTCCTCTCTGTTTGTCTCTGTGTGGTTAAGTGCATGTGCCCTATAGTGAATTAAAAAAATAAAATAATTCTTTTTCATACTTTTTAAAATTTTATTTATTTTTTAATTTATTTTTGGAGAGGTTTTCTTTTTTTTTTCCACTATAGGGTGCGTGCGCTCGCCAGACAGAGAGAGACATAGAAACAGAAAGCGAGAAATCACCCCCCAGGGGGGGATGGCCACGCCGCAATCCCTTCTCCTCCATTCTCCTCTCGGGATGTTGGGCTTGCACGCACACGTGCCCGGCGTGAGTTTTAAGCCACCGGGTCCTACAATGCTGCTACATTCTATCACATGGTTCCCCTAAAGAAAATAAAATTAAATAAGTGTATACATACCTTTTTATTTTTTTAAGAATCATTCTTATTTAACTTTATTTATTTATTTATCTATTTATTTATTTATATTTGACCAGAGAGGGATAGAGTGAGAGAGAGAGAGAGAAAGCAAGCAAGTCGCCAGATCTGGGACTTGAACCACGCTCAGCTATGTGGGAGTCCAACTCCGTTAACCACCATGTCACCAGCTGGTCCGAATAATTATTTTTTTAAAAGAAAAAACTAACAACTCACAATTTATAGATCGCATCTTGCATAAACAAAAAACATGTAAAGTTTTTTCTTTTTTTGGAGAAGTTTTTGCTATAGGGTGTGTGCGCTTGCCAGACAGACAGAGAGAGACAGAGAGACAGAAAGCAAGACATCACTTCCCCAAGGGGGATGGCCACGCTGCAATCCCTTCTCCTCCATTCTCCTCTCCAGATCTTGGGCATGCACGCACACGTGCCCTGCGTGAGTTTAACCCACCGGATCTGGGACTTGAACTGCGTCAACTACATGGGAGTCCAGTGATATAGCCATTATGCCAACTACTAATCCCTAAATTTTTTTTCTTTTAAATAGTGAGATAACTAGTAAATTTTTAATAAATTCTGTGCATTCAACAATAACATTGTTCTGATATTAATTTTCTGACATTGATGATTATACTATGGTTATGTGAGAGGGTGTCCTTGTTTTTAGGAAAGTAATTAGGAGTACCAAGGTATCATATCTCTAACTTACCTAGAATGGTCATATTATACATCTGTATTTATAGCTCTAATTCTGGCTGATTCCAATGTGTTGCAAGTTGCCCTAGAGGTTTTAGCAACCAGTGATCATCTTGGCTTAGCCTAAAGGGTTTTAACAACCTCTTTAAAAGAGAGCTTTTATAATTTAATTAAATTCCCTTAGCACTTTCAAACTATGCTTGTAAACTTAAATATGTTCAATTTCTCCATTTAAGAGCCATAGTAGGCTGATTTAACAGATGACTCTTTCCTCAGTACTTAAATGTTTTACGAATCTAAAATTATAAACTCATAAATGTGGTGAATCTTAATTGCTCCTTTTTTTTTTTTTTTTTTTTAGTTTTTTTGCCATAGGGTGTGTGCACTTGCTGGACAGAGACAGAAAGAGGGAAAGTGAGAGATCACCCCCCTCAGGAGGAGTAGTCACGCCACAGTCCCTTCTCCTCCATTCTCCTCTCAGGATTTTGTGCATGCATACACACATGCCTAGCATAATTTTCAAGCCACCAGGTCTGGGATTCAAACCATGGTCAGACATGTGGGAGTCCTGCGCCTTAACCACCATGCCACCTGTTGGCTCCAATTGTTGCACATTTTAAATTGGAATTATAAGATTGATCTCTCTCTTTTTTTTTCATAAGGAATTATTTATTTGGGGACCAGCAGATGATGTAATGGTTACGTCACTGGACTCCCATGTAGTTGACCATGGCTTAAAACTCGCACCCAGCACATGTGCATGCATGCCCAAAATCCTGAGAGGAAAATGGAGAAGGGGTTGTGCATGGTCATCCCCCCCAGGGAGTGATTTCTTGCTTTGTGTCTCTCTGTCTCTCTGGTGAGCACATGCGCCCTATAGCAAAAATCGCTCTCTTTAAAAAATAACCTTATTTTATTTTTTATAAGAATTTTTATTTATATTTATTTATTTATTTACTTATTTTAATTTAGCCAGAGACGGACAGAATGAGACAGAGAGAAAGGGAGAAAGTGAGAAAGCAAGCCACCAGGTGTGGAACTCAAACCATGGTCCCATGTGGGAGTCCAGTGCCCTTAACTGTTGC